ACTCCCGCAATATCAACAACGGGCAGATTTGAATGATACAGGAATCTGTCAGGAAAGCTGCCCTGATTTATTTGCAAACGGCTCATTCCTTGACAAATAAAAAGCCTAACGAGCTAGATGTAAAGCAGTTGCTCACTCAACAAGTGGATTCTATCGCTTTATTAAGGCACATTAGTCATGAGCTGGCAAGCCTTCGGCGCTATAAAATTAAATCGGTTTTAAAACCAGAATACGCCCCCATATGCGTAGACGATGGTACTCAAAGCAAGTACCTATTTGGGGATGATTTGCCCAAACGACTAAAAGATGCCAAAGAGGCAAGTAATGTAGGGTTAGCTGTCAATACAAATCACACACGCAACAACAATTATCGGGCGCCAAAAGGTCATGACAAACGAAATTGGCGCCAAACAAATGGCGGGCAAAATTACAATGATGGGTTTTCGCGCTCGGATTATTTTCGGAGGGGCAAACCTCAACACAACAGGAAAAAAGGTGTGAAACAGCAACAACAACAACCTTACAAGAAATAATAACAAATTTGAAGGCAATACAGACTTCTACCTCTTTGGTGAGTAAATGGCAATCATTTATTCCTTTTTTAAAGGAATACTTAACGCAATTATGTGCCTGTTTCAAAGCTGGTCGTATTTCAAATTATTTTTCAAGTTGGATAAATAAACTTCAGATAAAGAGATTCTATCTGACATTCGGGGCATGACAATTGAATTACATGACAGGCCAAATCAACATTATTTTGTTCAAACTAAATTTAACAGTGCAGAAGCTGAAGTCATAAATAGTGAAATAAACAAAATGTTGAAGAAACATATAATAGAGCCAGCAGAGCATGAAGAAAATGAAATTGTCTCGAATATATTTTCTGTGCCTAAAAAAGATGGCACCCATAGAGTTATTTTAAATCTGAAGGACTTCAATACACATGTGTCTTACCATCATTTTAAAATGGATTCTTTAAATACAATAGTTAAATTGGTTGATAAAGAATGCTTCATGGCATCTATTGACCTCAAGGATGCGTATTATTCAATACCTATTCGCAAGGATGACAGAAAATATTTGAGTTTTTTCTGGGATGGCAAGTTCTACCACTTCACTTGTTTACCAAATGGTTTATCAAGTGGACCTAGAAAATTCACTAAGATTCTTAAACCGGCCCTGTCCTCATTGCATAGTAAGGGGCACATTGTGTGTAGTCATTTAGATGACTTCTACTTACAAGGCAAGACACAAAATGAGTGTTGTTCTAATTTAATAGATACAGTCAAACTTTTTACACAACTGGGATTGGTAGTCCATCCTGACAAGTGTTCCCTTTCTCCCTCTCAAGAACTGATAATCTTAGGATTTGTTATAAATTCTGTCACAATGACAGTCAAATTGACACCAGAGAAAGCTTTAGCTCTAAAATTAGATTGTCAGAAATTTCTCAGAAAATCCCGAGCAAATATAGTGATAAGGGAACTTGCTCAGATTATCGGAAAATTGGTATCCAGTTTTCCGGGGGTGCTTTATGGCCCTCTTTACTATCGGCACTTAGAACGAGATAAAACAGCAGCCTTAGCTATAAATCACGGCAATTTTGATGCAAAAATGACGCTATCTGAGCAAAGTGTGTTAGAGCTTAGGTGGTGGTCAGCAAATGTGGTCGAAACCTTTAAACCCATTTCACACGAGGAACACTCCTTAGTTATTACAACCGATGCATCTTTGTCAGGTTGGGGAGCAGAATCCCAAAGCATAACCACTGAAGGAAAGTGGTCCCACATTGAAGCTAAGGAGCACATAAATTATTTAGAATTATTAGCCGCTTTCCTCGGTTTAAAAACATTTGCCAAAACTATATCTAATTTGCACATTAGGTTAATGATGGACAATACATCTGCAGTCAGTATTATAAACAATAAATTATGGGCACTAGCCATTCTGATAAGTGTAATTTGTTAGCAAAACAGGTCTGGGAATGGTGTATTACGAAGCAGATATGGATAAGTGCGGCGCATATACCAGGGCGAAATAATCTTGTTGCAGATTTCGAATCGAGACGAACGGTAAAAGCATCAGAATGGATGCTAGATAAATGCTGTTTAACAAAAGCACTGATAGAACTCGATTTTTCGCCCAATATTGATTTATTTGCCTCTAGGATAAATAAACAATTTGAGGAATATGTTTCGTACAGCCTGACCCACAGGCATCTTCAGTCGATGCATTTACGCTAACATGGAGGTCACTCATGTTCTACGCTTTTCCTCCATTCAGTCTTATAGGAAATGTGCTGAGCAAGATAAACTAAAGAGAGAAAAAGCAAGGGGGGTGGTTGTGTTTCCAAACTGGCCAACACAGCCATGGTATCCGAAAGCGCTATCAATGTTGGAGAAGCCACCCATACATTTGAAAGCATCGAAACACCTATTGACGCTACCAAGTCATCCAAACGAACTACACCCAATGTTCAAGAAGCTGTCGCTGGTGATCTGTCTATTATCCGGAAAAGGTTAGAACTCCAAGAGCTTTCGCCTGGTGCGAGAGAAATTATAATGGCTTCATGGCGAAAAGGCACTTGGAAACAATATCAGTCATACCTGTTACGATGGGAAGACTATTGCATTCGAAAAAATATTGCATTCCATACACCTGGGAACACGGCTGCAATAGAATTCCTAACAGAACTCTATAACTCGGGAATCGGATATAGCGCAATAAATACGGCTCGGTCGGCACTTTCGTCGGTAATAACGCCAGTTGCTGGAGTTCCATTTGGTAAAGATCCTTTAGTTTGTCGTTTTTTAAAGGGAGTATTTGAGTTGAAACCTTCCTTACCTAAATACTCTGCAATATGGGATGTAAATAAAGTTTTATGTTACTTACAAAGAGTTAGTTCAGTAAATCAAATTAGTTTGAAAGATCTTACAATGAATCTTTCGACATTGTTATGTTTATTAACGGGACAGAGATGCCAGACAATTCACAAGATAAACATAAACTACATTCAGTTTATTGATAATAGATGCATCATAGATATTCGGGAAGTGTTAAAACATACGAAAGCTTGTAAACATCAAGCCCCTTTGGAACTTCGATCATACCAAAATGATAAGCGAGTGTGTGTTATAGAATATCTCCAAGAATACATCAAGAGAACGGCCACGTTAAGAGGTGACGAATCCCAGTTATTAGTGAGTTTTGCCAAACCTCATAAAGCTGTAACGAAGGATACTATTGCCAGATGGGTGAAATCAATACTTAAGAGTTCTGGTATTGATACGGATAGATTCACATCTCACAGCACTCGGGCAGCCTCGACTTCGAGTGTTAAAGCAGCCGGTCTCAACTTACAACAGATAATGGAATCTGCGGGTTGGTCTAACTCTTCCACGTTTGCAAAGTTTTACGATAAGAATATTGAAACGGAAAACTTTGTTTCAATGCTTTTGAACACAGCTGACAATCTGTAGATAGTTCAGTGGTTGAAAATAGTTGATATTAAAAGTACATTTTATTTCCAATTTCCTCATGTGTCGGATTAGCTTTTAACGGTCGCAGGACTTTGAAATCTCATGTGACTCCGTAGTGACGTGACTGATGACGTAGTAGAATTCTAAAGTTAAACGAGACTTACCTGTAAGCACAGGCAGCCCGGTCACTGCTGTTACGTCATGCTATTATATATGTATATAATTACAATAAGGCTGGCAACTCTCTCGCAAAAAATATAATACATACATTAATACCATCGCTTAAAACAACAATACTACGATAGTTTCTTAAAAAAAAACTACATACAAAACACCTTGGATATATTGACTATATTTATATGTCGTTTTTAGAGTTGAAAAAAACTCTAAAATGCTCAAATTTTGCGAATTAAAAGTGTATTTTCGTTGAAATTTTCCGAAACAGAGGCGGGATATAGTTTACTCGACAAACGTCATCATCGGAGAATTCGTCGGCAAATTTCTGATTGGCTGTGGCAAGTTCGGAAAAAAACGAAGATCTTTCTTCTCCATTGGGTTGACCTTCGTAAGTTTCCGAACTTGCCACAGCCAATCAGAAATTTGCCGACGAATTCTCCGATGATGACGTTTGTCGAGTAAACTATATCCCGCCTCTGTTTCGGAAAATTTCAACGAAAATACACTTTTAATTCGCAAAATTTGAGCATTTTAGAGTTTTTTTCAACTCTAAAAACGACATATAAATATAGTCAATATATCCAAGGTGTTTTGTATGTAGTTTTTTTTTAAGAAACTATCGTAGTATTGTTGTTTTAAGCGATGGTATTAATGTATGTATTATATTTTTTGCGAGAGAGTTGCCAGCCTTATTGTAATTATATACATATATAATAGCATGACGTAACAGCAGTGACCGGGCTGCCTGTGCTGTAAGTTGAAGTTTGATTGGAATTCTACAAGTCATCAGTCAGGAACGAAGGAGTCACATGCCCACATGTTTTTATGGTAAAACTCCCTTCCCTCCCGTGACTCTTCGTTCGTTTTGTTCCTGCAACCGTTACGTTAAAAACTGATCAGCGAAGCACGCAGGCGCTTCTCATGTGACTCCTTCGTTCCTGACTGATGACTTGTAGAATTCCAATCAAACTTCAACTTACAGGTAAGTCTCGTTTAATTTTAGAATTAATCTTTTAAAATGAAAGGGCATTTTGTCCCCCTTGCCCCTTCTGGTGAAAGGCAAGGGGGGCAGTTACCCCTGCTGCCCCCCCCTGTTCCGGCGTCTGTGTATGTCCTATCCGGTTTTATAGTATGTGCGCAAAATATTTTTCATTTTGTAATAGATTGATGTCTATTTAGCCAAAAATCTGGCTGAAAATCTTTACCTTTTCCAGGCAGGTTTTGATCCATGATTTTGTGTGTGTGTTTTATGGTTTTGAATAATCAAATTGACAAATTGTAAAATGTTTTCAATGAATATGTTTGTGTAGTATCTAAGCCGTCCAGCTGCAGTGAGCTACGACAAGACAGCATGTTTATCATCAAGAGTAAAACCAAAACAACAAAAGGTGATTTTCAGATATTTCATAAATACTGGCTTAATTAATTGTTTAATTGTTAAAAAATTTAATTTTTCTAGGTAATGCTGGAAATGTCATTAAACACATCTGGTCCCAGCTACTGCCAATCTAAAGGGGAACAATTTGCCTGGGAAGCTGACCATGCTGCATCAGATGATAAAAAATTCTTCAGAAGGTCATTTTTGGCATAGAAAAACAAAACATTCTCATGTATATATTTTATAATTTTATTGACTGCCACTGTGAATCTAGCATTCTAGTAATTAATGTTGTAGTAATGATCTTTTCTAAAACAGTGACAGAATGGACAAGCAAGTCTTGCTCTCTTCCCAAGGAACAGTTTCAACATCACAGTATGCAGTCGGTCTGCTGAGAGATGGTAAAAATAACTTGAAACAACAATTGCTTTCAACTAATTACTGTGACAACCTACATTATATTGTAATAATAATAAACATTCATGTTTACAGTGAAATACTTTTGTATCTTTCAGGGGAAATTCATTTAACACCTCTCAAGGGGGTTGTTCAATTGAGGCCCAGTTTTGAATATTTGGATCGTAATCAGGAGAAAAAGCCAACTAACCAGGATGAAGGTTTGTACATGAGTAAGCTTGGCTTAGGCTCTCTGTTGAAATCCCTTCTCTACCTTTGTCTTGCACCCAGCTTCAAAATAGGAAATTGGACAGCTAACATGCAGAATCTATATTTTTCAGGTGATTCACAATATGAAGATGAGGAAAAGGCCACTGCTTTATTGGTAGGAAAACTTTAAGATTCTATTTAAGTCTAAAAAATACAGTAAACTTGCAGTTCCATACAATCATCAAGTTACTCTAAATTCTAGGTTAGGTTTGCTAAGAAGGAAACTGAACAAGCCAAAGCTCAGAGGCTGTCATCCTATAAACATCTTGAGAAACAGATGTCGGAAGAACCATGGACTGAAGTTGAATATTTTGGAATCAATGTGGGTTCACAATTTCAGTGTTCAACTTGTGTAATACCAGTAACATCAGTAATCATGTGTGTAATATTTGCCTTTCAATTATTTTCTTCCCAGGACATAAAAAGTGTTGAGGAACGAAATTTGCTGTTTTGTCAAGAAGTGAATACTGAGGTTTTAGAATTTGATGCAACCTCAAGGTTTGATTTTTGTGCAAGTAAATAGATTGTTATAATTGCATACAACAGTACCCTGGCAATAATTCTGTTAACCACAAGCAAACTGATTTAGTCATCCTCAACCATCTTTACTTTGGGGGAGGATGGATTTTGACACTAAAAGTACCGGTTCAGATCATTAGCCTTTGGTCACATAGCCAGCTAGCTTGTATTTTGTTTTGCAGTAGTTATGTTGAGATGTTGATGCCTACTACAGCAGAGGTTTCAAGGTAGGTTAATCAAGCCAACATGCCAGTCATGGAACAAAGTGGGGTAGCCAACCAAATAAACCGCCTTGGATGACATGCTTCTTCCTGCATTAAAGCAAATCCATATTGCCAGAGTTTAGAGGCTAGGAAATACTCTCTAGACACATTAAGATTTGTCTTATTTGTTTCTTCAAGTGATTTAAACTCAATAATTTTCTTGTATGATTGCATGGCGACTTTAGTAATTATAATAACTTGTAGGTACACCACGTAAGTATTAAATACTGCAAAGCTTTCGGTCCGTTAACCCGGACCTTCATCAGTGCACTGATGAAGGTCCGGGTTAACGGACCGAAAGCTTTGCAGTATTTAATACTTACGTGGTGTACCTACAAGTTATTATAATTAATTAATTAATTGATTTAAACTCATTGCCAACCAAATTCACAACATTAGCTCATGTACGAAAAATGGACATAATTGACCAAGTTAGGAATCGCTTAATTGAGGGTGAGTCTGGGTGTTTCTGGTGAGATGTTGCAGCTTCTGTTAACACTTTCAAACCTGGTGGGGAAAAAATTATTAGCGTGGGGGGGACTTTTCGACCGCCGAAGGCGGGAGAAAACTAGGGAGGCCCGGGGGCATGCTCCCCCGGAAAATTTTGAAATCTAGAGTCTCTTAAATGCGTTTTCCTGCGTTTTGGGAAGTCTTTTTTTCTGAAAACCTATGCCACTTAAGCCTAAAAATAAGATGACCAGCTTTCTACAAAGAGTCAAGAATGAGTTAAAACTTTCACAAAACTTTTAAAACTGCATTGAATTCACGTTATATGTAAGTAAATAAGATATGATCTACATAAACAATTTAAAGAACAGAGTTTAAGTGCATAGTCGTATCCATGTCTACAGTGGAAGCTTTCGAGGCTTTGCCAGCTTAAATATTTCCACTAATTTGCTGAGTTCTATATTTGCTGCCACATCTCGTTCACAGCTTATCTGGACTAGATCCTCAAGTCTCTCAGGTAACATGGCAGCTCGCAAATAATTGTTTATAATTTTTACTTTGCTATGTGTGCGCTCACATGATGCCACTGTTATTATATTTAATTTGTATAATGAATATACAAAAAATCAGTAGATCACTAGCAATCTATGTGGCAATAATTACTAGTTCTAAGAATCCCTATGCCATATATAGGGTTTCTATCCACAAAAGTGGTAAAGTAAAGTCAGTTGTATGTCATGTAGGTGTAGTTGTATTAGTATTAGTCAGAATAGTCATGTAAATGAGGGAGCGACTTCTGCAAAAAATGCAGCACACTTCTGCCTCGTTCTTAAAAAACATATATATGCAATCATCATACTGAACCATATAGAATCACCCAGCTATACCGTATAGAAACAATAAAATTTAATTGATGTGTAATATTATTTTCTTTTTAGAAGAAATTTAAACAGAATAATATTGAAAATATGGAAATAAATGGTGAGTGCAAAAACTTAGAGATTAATTTGTCTTTGTAAACCATTCATAAAATACCAAGTTCCCCAATGTATATCAAAATAAAACCATCTATGTCTGTGATTATCTATATTATTAAAAATAAAATCAAGTTGTCTGGCTCTCTTTTCTGCCGTTCTTTTAGTTGACCATGAAGTTGAACTTAAAATCCATTCTGCTGTGTAATTAGGTGATGCGCCATTACCAATAAGGAATAAAAAAAGTTTAAAAGTATCTGTGTCGGTAAGAGGTTTCTTCCAAAATAAAAATTGATATTGAGATGGCCATAATTCGAGCGGGTAAAAAATGTCACCATTAAAAAGGTTAAAAAGGTTGTTTCTTATGGATACGATATCGGATCTGTTGACATTCTTGAATGAGGTAAGATAAAGATGCAGAAAATTGTTCGTGTTCATTGCAATGGTCAATTAATCTACATAGGGTAAATTATGTTTAAATTAACTACAGGTATGAGAAAAGAAAGGAAATTTGGAAGAAAATGCAAAACCCGGGTGCTTTAGGAAGTAAACCAAGTCCAACAGTATTTGCAAGGTAAAGCTACTGTATGGTCTTGCCCTAAACTGTTTTTAAAAAAAACAGAGTCGTGATGTCTTCAGGTTCCAAGCACGACTGGGAGGCGTGTTTCTAATCCACCGGCGGATCTTGGAACGACACGCCCGTTTATGCATAGTGAATAGAAAGAGATTTGATATATTAAGAAAGAATTACAAATAGTGTACATAATAGGAAACACTCAAACCGCTCTAAAAATTGTATTAAAACGCCTATATATTTATATCTATCTTTATAATATTATAACGTATTTATCACCAATACTATTTTAATGTAATAAAACCAAATTTCAGTCTATATATTGAGTTTTAGTGTACAATTGTGGCTGTGCTCAAATGAATATCACAAAAAAAACAAATCCGCAAAAAAATTGAACCTCAAAACTCGCAAAAAACCACAAAAAAATCCGGCAAATCTCCGAAAAAATCATACAATGATGAAATTGATCGAATTATACACTCTCTATATCTATTAAAATAAATTAAATATGTGAAAAACATGAAAAAAACTTACATAAAGTAAACTCCCGGTTGGTCGTCAACAAAAGTTCAAACTTTTCGCGCGTTATAACAAAACGTTGTTGCCATGGTAACGTCAAAATCACGCAAACGCCTACGGTTTCGTCGTTACGTTAAAATAACAATGGAGAAAAACTAAATGGAATGCTATCAGCGGAGTAACCAAAATCTCTTTTAATCGGACGATCGGAGGAACTAAATTGCTTACAACTCGTTCTATTTTGAAAAAATGATCAAAAGGTAAGTTGAATTTCATTTGAAAAACGAAAACAAACCATGTAACTCCAATGCAAAATCAGTTTTATAACAATCATCCTTCGAATTATATTTTATAGGTCAATTAACAGTGATCAACTTCGATTATTTTAAGTATATTCAAAAGGTATATAAAATACTTGAAAATGTATAATAAAATTAAAGATTTTGGACTATGTATAGTAGTATTTTGTTCTAAAAGTCAATCTTGATTAAACTATGTATCTTAATAAGGTGTGGTTGATCATATTGAAATATGCATATAATAACTCGTTCTTTGTATATGCAAATCTATAAACATTGAGAATTAATTAATTTACCATGTAATTTTTTGTTGGTTAACAAAAGTGAGTTCAATTTTTTAGCATTACAATAGGTTTTCTTGAGACTAGGGATATGTTTATTGTGGTATTTATGTAGGATGTGTTGTACAATCTTGTCTGTTCTAGCATGCTTATTAAATCTTATATTATAATGGATTGCCGGTGTTTTCTTTTTTTGTAGTTGATTGGTCTTCTTCTGCATATGCTTGTTCAAAGTCATAAAAGGGAAGGTATTTCGTTTGATGAGTTCCAAAGGGTAGCCAAGAGAGGTGAGTCGGAATGTGAATAGGTTTAACATAAAGTTGTAGTCGTCGATGGTGGCGGATAATCTGCTGTATCGGATTGTTTCTGTGGTAACAAGCCCTTTGAAAATATGACTAGGATGATTGGATGTATAGTGTGGATACATATATTTATGATTAGGTTTTTGATAGATCTGATAATGGATGAGATTGAAAAGGATTGTATGATAATTGATTGAAATTGTAAGATCTAAATAGTAAGTAGAATAAGAGTTGCAATTGAAAGAAATTGGAATTTGACGAGGATAGTGAGTGATAAGAGAATTAATTAAGAGGTTTGCATCAGTGTGATTGGTTAACATGAAACCGTCATCTATGTATCGTGCAAATATATGTAAGCCATTAGTGCATGTTGATAAGAAAAAATTGAATTCAGATAACAGTAGTACTAGATCTGCCATTTGTCTACTATGGTAACTACCCATTGCGATCCCATGAATTTGCTTAAAAATGTGACCTCCTACAGTAAAAAAGTTTCTATCATTTAGAAATTGGTTGATATTAAGTAGGAAATCTCTGTAAAAAGTAGATAATTTAAGTAATTTACAACTATTAACAATAGCATTTATAGTATCTTGAAAAGATATATTGGTGTAGAGAGAAGAGAAATCAAAGGATATCAATTTATAATTATTGATATTATAAATGGGATGTTGACATAGGATTTCAACAAGCTCTAAGGAGTTGTAAATAAGTGGAAAGTGAATGTGTTTAGAAACAAAGAGATCTTTAAATTTCAAAATGATGCTATCCAAATGTAGGCCTAACAATTTAGAGATATTTGAGGTGGACCAAGAGTGTGCGGTGATTATAGGTCTACCAGTAAGAGAGGATAAGTTAGAAGAAGAGGCAATAGAAGAGAGTTTATGTACTTTAGGGAGCAGTTTCATGTAAGGTAATTGAATATTTGTAGAGGAAAGAGGGTTGAGTAGAGCTTTGTCATCATCCGAGACTAGATTGTTGAAACGAGATTTTAATTTTCCAAGTATTGCGTTGCATTCTGTGGTGTGTAAATCCAGATTAAAATCTTCAATAATCTTGTAAATGTTAGCATCTTTCAGGTGTCTTGCGTATTCATTGATGTACCAGGATATTGGTAGAAGAGCCCAACCCATATTTTTATCCGATTGTGTGATGACTATGTCTTGATTGCATTGTATATCATACAGTTGCAGTGAGGTATGTTGATCTATGTTAAGCATATTCAGTTGAGATAACTTAGAGAAATTTGTGTCGTCAAGGTATTCTTTAGTGTAGTTAAGCGTTTGATGTACATAATCTATAAGGTATTGATTGAAATTAGGTCTTCCTTGCTGTTGATCTAAGAGGGAGAAAGGATTGGTATCGATGTTGTTGATATTGTGACTTTTCTTTTTACCAGTTGATTTCTTCCTTTTATGGACAGTGTTATAATCTGTAGGTTGTTTTAAGATAATATTGTTGAGGGCATTTTTAACTTCTTTATAGGTGGAATCTTTAAGTGATGCAGGATTAAGGTTAGTAGAGGTTGGTATGAAATTGGTGCCTTTGTTAAGGATGCTGGTAACGCCCAAAGGTAAGGTGATATCAGTGAAATTATGAATTTTGTTCGTATGTAATGTTTTCATTTTTTCTTTGACGGTAAAGGTTTTCCTTTCATCATTAACTTTATTTTTAAGCTTTGATGCTAAACCATTCTTAGTAATAATTGACCTGTTTTGTATGAAACCATTGAATGTAGATAAAGATTTATGAATTTTATGAAAGCGCGTTGCGTGATTGATCTTTTGAGGGGTGCCTTTTCTTTTACATCTTTGATTTTGTCTTTCTCGGTCTGTATCACTTCGTTTTTCATTTGATCTATTCTTTTTTCTAACATTGCTATGTCTAATTGAATATTGTTTATATATTCTAGTGTCTCTTCAGGAGGAATTTGTTCGGATTTGGTGGAATTAGTAGTGGACATATTAGCATCGGCATTTTTATAAATGACTTGATCTATGGATAGTTGAAGGTGGTACAGGCATGTATAGTTCGATTCTAAAATTTTTTCCAAGTTATGAATTTTGAGTAAATTTCTCTTTTGTAATGGTGTCAGGTTTTTATGCGATTTCATACCTCTGATCCAAGTTTTCTTTGAATAATAAGTAGGTTTAGGGGGGTTGGTTTTCTTATGCTTATTTTGTTTTAATTTTTGTTTGTACTTAATTCTTTTCCGTTTCTTTCTATTTTCTTTAGCAGATGTAGCCTTCAAAGATGGATTATCCTTATTGTAGGTGGGTTGCGTTAAAATATCTGGGTTATTCAAACGTTTCCGTTTCAAAATTTTTCGAATAGTGCTGTTTCTTCTAGCCATTAGGGAAATCTATATGGATCATATGAAAAATTGAGAAAATAAAATAAAAATAAAAAATAAAGTCTGTCAGTTTGAACATAGTAAAACCATACATAGATTTGACTAGAACCAAAAAATATGCATCTCTACTGAAGATGCATTACATGTTTTTATATTTAATTTGTATAATGAATATACAAAAAATCAGTAGATCACTAGCAATCTATGTGGCAATAATTACTAGTTCTAAGAATCCCTATGCCATATATAGGGTTTCTATCCACAAAAGTGGTAAAGTAAAGTCAGTTGTATGTCATGTAGGTGTAGTTGTATTAGTATTAGTCAGAATAGTCATGTAAATGAGGGAGCGACTTCTGCAAAAAATGCAACACACTTCTGCCTCGTTCTTAAAAAACATATATATGCAATCATCATACTGAACCATATAGAATCACCCAGCTATACCGTATAGAAACAATAAAATTTAATTGATGTGTAATATTATTTTCTTTTTAGAAGAAATTTAAACAGAATAATATTGAAAATATGGAAATAAATGGTGAGTGCAAAAACTTAGAGATTAATTTGTCTTTGTAAACCATTCATAAAATACCAAGTTCCCCAATGTATATCAAAATAAAACCATCTATGTCTGTGATTATCTATATTATTAAAAATAAAATCAAGTTGTCTGGCTCTCTTTTCTGCCGTTCTTTTAGTTGACCATGAAGTTGAACTTAAAATCCATTCTGCTGTGTAATTAGGTGATGCGCCATTACCAATAAGGAATAAAAAAGTTTAAAAGTATCTGTGTCGGTAAGAGGTTTCTTCCAAAATAAAAATTGATATTGAGATGGCCATAATTCGAGCGGGTAAAAAATGTCACCATTAAAAAGGTTAAAAAGGTTGTTTCTTATGGATACGATATCGGATCTGTTGACATTCTTGAATGAGGTAAGATAAAGATGCAGAAAATTGTTCGTGTTCATTGCAATGGTCAATTAATCTACATAGGGTAAATTATGTTTAAATTAACTACAGGTATGAGAAAAGAAAGGAAATTTGGAAGAAAATGCAAAACCCGGGTGCTTTAGGAAGTAAACCAAGTCCAACAGTATTTGCAAGGTAAAGCTACTGTATGGTCTTGCCCTAAACTGTTTTTAAAAAAACAGAGTCGTGATGTCTTCAGGTTCCAAGCACGACTGGGAGGCGTGTTTCTAATCCACCGGCGGATCTTGGAACGACACGCCCGTTTATGCATAGTGAATAGAAAGAGATTTGATATATTAAGAAGGAATTACAAATGAAAGCAAAAAGTGTACATAATAGGAAACACTCAAACCGCTCTAAAAATTGTATTAATACGCCTATATATTTGTATCTATCTTTATAATATTATAACGTATTTATTACCAATACTATTTTAATGTAATAAAACCAAATTTCAGTCTATATATTGAGTTTTAGTGTACAATTGTGGCTGTGCTCAAATGAATATCACAAAAAAAAAACAAATCCGCAAAAAAAAAATTGAACCTCAAAACTCGCAAAAAACCACAAAAAAATCCGGCAAATCTCCGAAAAAATCATACAATGATGAAATTGATCGAATTATACACTCTCTATATCTATTAAAATAAATTAAATATGCGAAAAACTTACATAAAGTAAACTCCCGGTTGGTCGTCAACAAAAGTTCAAACTTTTCGCGCGTTATAACAAAACGTTGTTGCCATGGTAACGCCAAAATCACGCAAATGCTTACGGTTTCGTCGTTACGTTAAAATAACTATGGAGAAAAACTAAATGGAATGCTATCAGCGGAGCAACCAAAATCTCTTTTAATCGGACGATCGGAGGAACTAAATTGCTTACAACTCGTTCTATTTTGAAAAAATGATCAAAAGGTAAGTTGAATTTCATTTGAAAAACGAAAACAAACCATGTAACTCCAATACAAAATCACAAGACGGGGTCTTTTTATATCGAGCACATGGAAATTGAGTTGTTGTTTTTTTTTGTTGAATTATAGTTTATATTTTATCGAGTTTAGTTCATATTATACAGATTTTCCGTACATGGTCCTTCGAGCCGGATTATTTTCAAAAAGAATTTAGAAATTCAATGTTTTTACATCATGGCTGAAGCAAATTTGACAACAATAAGGAAAATACGAGCGGGTCATCGAGCGCATACGACGAAAACTATTGCCAAGGCAAAGGCAAAGCAAGTTATTGAAAGCTTCGATGAAAATCAAGTCAGTGTTCTTCGTTCATATCAAGATGTTTTGCATGAGAAGTTGGAATTAATCCCAAAATTAGACGAAGATATTCTCCAGGGAACGAAGGACGACGATATTGAGAAGGAAATCGAGGATAGCGGCGATTTTAAACGTAATATTAAAGAGTGTATTTTTCAAATCGAAAGTGTTCTAGTTTCTACACAACAAGTAAGTGAACCCAGCACAAGTGGCGTTGCTACTCCGGATACAAGTGTCAATCAACCTTATCTAAGTCAAGTTAAGTTACCTAAGCTACATTTAAAGAAATTTAATGGGGATCCAACGTGTTGGCAACAATTTTGGGAATCATTCAATTGTGCAGTCCATGAAAATACGGTATTGAGTAGTATTGATAAATTCAACTATCTTCTTGGTCTACTAGAGAATACAGCTTTGCAAGCTATATCAGGTCTGTCGCTGAGTGGGGACAACTACATTGAAGCTGTAAAGATCCTTCAAGATCGATTCGGAAATAAGCAACTGATTATAAGCAAACATATGGATAAACTATTGAAGTTGCCAAGTGTATCAAGTCTACGGGATGTCAAGAGTCTGAGGAGTGTCAATGATGTTATGATTCAATTGAGTCGAATGTTCGATCACCAAAGAGCCTGGGAGTTAATTCGGAGATGTATATGGAAGTTTGTTGGCGCCTATTATGTTGTCGAAGTTACCGAACGAGCTTCGTTTGATAATTTCACGAAAAACAACATCGGATATTTGGGATCTGGATAATCTACTTTCTACGTTTAATGAAGAGCTTCAAGCAAGAGAAAAGTGCAATTTTGTATCGGAAGCATCAGCCAGTGATAATTCAAAGAAGCCATCCTGGAATGAAAAACCCAAACCATTTACAGCATCATCCCTATTTTCAGGTTCAGGAAATGAAGGTAAAGTAACCTGCACCTACTGCGGCCAACAACATCCCTCGGCGAGATGTACTATGGTTACTGATATTGCAGCAAGGAAAGCTGTTTTACGTCAGAAGGGACGGTGTTTCCAATGTCTACGGTCGAATCATATTATCAGAGATTGCCCATCAGAGAAGCGATGTTTCAAATATAGTCAACGTCACCATACTAGTATCTGTCCCAAGTTATATCCTCTTCCAGGAACATCCCAAGAACAAGGGTCTACCAAGCCTGAAAAGGATAGAACTAAGAATGACCGAAGTCCAAAACTTCCCTCGACAGCAAACATTGCATGTATTGGCCAAGATCAACCGAAAGCGGTGCTCCTTCAGACTGCATCAGCCAGAATATCCAGTGTACAAAACCCACAAATTCAAATTAAAGCACGTATCATGTTTGACCTGGAAGTCAAAGGACATATATATCAGAAAGCCTCAAAGAAAAGTTATCTCTCCAAGCTGTTAGATCCAATACATTGATGATTAAGACTTTTGGAAGTACATCAGAACAAATTCAAGAATGCCCTCTGGTTGAATGCATTGTGAACAGTCGTCATGATAATTCATCCTTATGTATCAATGCATATGCCGTACCTACCATCTGTGCCCCTCTTAATGGGCAGATCATCAACTCTGCAAAGCAAGAGTACACCCATCTGAAGGGACTCAGATTGGCAGAAGAAGCAAGAGATGAAGAAGAATTACAGGTTGATGTGTTAATTGGTGCAGACCACTACTGGGACTTTGTAAGTAAGATTGAGAAAAGAGGCGGCTAAGGTAGCCCAGTTGCTACTTACACAAGACTCGGATGGGTCCTCAGTGGGCCAGCGGTCGTGAGAGAAAGTCGAGCTGCCTCGATTAACCTTAGATTCACCCATGTTCTTCGTGTCGAGACTGAAGTTGAAACCAGAAATAGTGATCTACAGAGCGAAGTAAAGAAATTTTGGAATTAGAAAGCCTGGGCATCAAGAGTGAAGAAGAAAGTGTCTACCACAAGTTCCTTGAAGATACAGAATTTAAAGGAGAAAGGTATGAAGTCAAATTGCCATGGAAAGAGGAAAATGAACTGTTACCTGATAACTACAAGCTAAGTATAAACCGATTGAATTCCCAGCTAAGACGACTCAAAGCGAAGCCAAACGTGCTGGAAGAGTATGATCGAGTCATTGATCACCAACTGAAGACCGGAGTGATAGAGAGAGTTGAAGAGTCAACACCAAAACCCCTTGGAAAGGTACATTACCTGCCACATAGAGAAGTTGTGCGACCCGAAAAGTCCACCACAAAACTAAGAGTGGTATACGATGCATCCGCAAGATCAAATGGACCGTCATTGAACGATTGTCTCTATGTCCGTCATTGACATCCTTCTTCGGTTTCGACTCCACAGAATCGCATTGGTGGCTGATATAGAGAAAGCTTTCTTGAACATTAGCATTTCCGAAGAAGATAGAGATTTTCTAAGGTTTCTGTGGGTTAATGACATCAAGAGTGACCAACCGGAGGTAGTAGTGTATCGATTTGCTCGTGTAGTTTTTGGAGTCGCGTCAAGCCCCTTCCTCTTAAATGCAACATTACAGAAACACATCAACACACACCAGAGCACCGACCCAAAAATTGTAGAAAACCTGCTACAATCCCTCTATGTAGATGATCTCAATTCAGGAGCAGACAACACACCAGAAGCGCTACATCAGTACTCGAGAGTAAAGGAGATAATGCATCAAGGTGGATTTAACATGAGAAAATGGAAGACAAACTGTCCTGAATTAGCACAAATAATTAGAGAAACCGAGAATGAAGTATCAAGCACTCAAGATACAATCACCTCTACAGAAACATCTATGTCATATGCCAAACAAGTTCTTGGCTCCCAGCCTGATGATGAGAAAGTTCTTGGTGTAACATGGAACAACTCCACTGATACACTCGTTTTTCGCCTCGACAAAATGGTGAACTGCGAACCAGAGTTGTTACAACCAATCCCGAAGCGTGATCTCCTCAGTTCAGCTGCAAAGATTTATGACCCAATGGGATTAATCTCACCTGTTGTTCTAAAGTTCTGTTCCAGGATGCGTGCAAGGCCGAGCTAGACTGGGACATGTCGTTAGAACTGAGTACTCGCTGGGAAGTGTGGAGAGCGAATGTGTCTAACTGTCAAGAAATTACCATTCCAAGATGTGTTATTCCTGAAAACAAGGAATCGATCCAGTCCATAGAGCTTCATGGCTTTGGGGACAGTTCAAAATATGCCTATGGTACGGTGGTGTATTTGCGAGTTGTACGTGAGAACAAGGTTCACACGAATATCATTGCATCCAAGAGTAGAGTAGCACCCTTGACAGAGCAAACCATTCCTCGACTAGAACTTTTATCGGCATTGGTTTTGGCGAGACTTATTCATTCAGTTCAGTTAGCATTTGCGAACGTGATCAAGATAACCTCAGTTTACTGCTGGCTAGATTCGATGATAGCTTTATCGTGGATAAAGGGTACTTCTAAAGAATTCAAGCAATTTGTTCAAAATCGTGTGGTAGAAATCCGTAAGCTGGTGCCTGTGAAAGATTGGAGATTCTGTCCGGGACTTAACAACCCAGCAGATATTGTTTCAAGAGGTATGTTACCTTCAGAACTGAGTCAGAGCAAGTTATGGTGGAATGGACCAGATTTCTTGGTAAGAAATGATTCTGAATGGCCTAAGGATAGTGAAGAAATGATTTCTAACGATGAGGCTCGAATTCAAAGTGAGAGAGAAGTCAAATTCAAACCAACTGGTACAACCAGCTTGTCATGTGTCAATGACAATGTTACAGAAAAGTAATCGCAATCATCGTTAGAGAACATTTTGCCAAAGGAACGATACAGCACTCTTGGTAAACTGCTAAGAGTTACGAGTTATGTTCTAAGATTCATCGCAAACCTTCGGGCAAAGGTTGCTGGAACTGAACAAAATCTAAGTCGTCTTTCCCTTGAAGAAATAACAGAAGCTAAGCATATATGGTATAAGTACATACAAGGAACGATTCAAACGAGCAAAAGTTTCAAGCAAGTTCAAGCATCACTGGGTCAAAGATGATTGTGGTATATGGAGATGTGGTGGAAGATTATCCAATGCTAATATTGAACTTTCTGCTAAACATCCAGTTTTCTTGCCCAATGATCATTGGTTTTCTACCTTGTTGGTGGAAGAATGTCACAGGAGAGTAATGCACAATGGTGTAAGAGAAACACTTTGCGAAATTCGTTCAGAACATTGGATTGCGAGGGGAAGACAATGTGTCAAGAAGATTATTGCAAAATGTACTACATGCAAGAGATATGAAGGAGGAACTTATCAGATACCACCTCAACCATCATTACCAGATTTTCGAGTTTCTGACGACTTTGCTTTCACGAGAGTCGGTGTGGACTTCGCTGGTCCCGTTTATGCCAAACCAATCTTCTCAACAGGTGCAAAATCACCAGTTTTTAAGACGTATATCTGTCTATTTACGTGTGCCTCGTCACGAGCATTGCATCTCGAATTGGTTCCAGATCTATCTACGAAGGCATTTATTCGCTGTTTACAGAGATTCATGTCCAGAAGAGGTATCCCAAAGATGTTTATTTCAGACAATGGAAAAACCTTTAAGGCGAACGAGCTTGCAGAATTCGCAACCGGAAATAACATCAGTTGGAAATTCAATATAGAGAGAGCCCCTTGGTGGGGAGGATTTTTTGAAAGACTAGTGAAATCGGTGAAAAGGTGTCTCAGTAAAATTGTAGAAGAGCTAGATTGACGTACGAAGAATTGGAGACAGTCTTAGTGGAGATTGAAGGCGTTATCAACAGTCGTCCACTGACGTATGTGTATAGTGATGAAGTTTGTGAAGGTCCGTTAACACCTTCGCATTTAGTTATGGGTCGTCGCCTTCTCAGTCAAGCACATGCCACGAGAGAGGAGACTGACACTCCTACGGGTAATGGACGTTTGTCGCGTCGCGCAACTTATTTGAAGAAATTGTTAGAACATTTCTGGAACAGATGGAGTCGCGAGTATTTGTTAGAGTTCAGAGAACATCATCGTGCCAAAGGAGTTAGAAGAAGTGCGAAGGCGAATCCCAAAGAAGGAGATATAGTTTGCGTGTACGAAGAGAAAACTCCAAGGAATCTATGGAGATTGGGGAAGGTCGAGAAACTTTTCAAAGGAAACGATGGTCAGGTTAGAGCAGTTGCACTCCGAATATGGAACAAAGGAGAAGAAACAATAACGTTACAGCGCCCGTTCAGAAAGTATATCCAGTCGAGGGATCTCGCGTTGATGAAAATACAAGTGTTCCAGTAAGGAACCTTGTTTGTTATCACAGAAACATTGTACTGTGAACATTGTTGACATTATTAACTGACATGCGTCATTTAATCGGGGGGAGTGTGTATGAAATTAGACGTTATACTTACCCGGGGATTTAGCTCCGGGGGTCTTTTGCACGGGGTCTTTTTATATCGAGCACATGGAAATTGAGTTGTTGTTTTTTTTTGTTGAATTATAGTTTATATTTTATCGAGTTAAGTTCATATTATACGTACAACCGGGTTGTTGTCCTTCTGCATGAAATGCCTGGGATTTACCTTTGTGTTGTTAATTAATTTGTTCTCATAAAACAAACAGAATATATGGTATCTAATAATTAATAATTTAATTTAAAACTACAACAGACAACCAATGAAGATTAATACTTATCATTTTTAAAACATAAACCATGCAGAATGTTCCCATGACACTTCATGTGGCTGTGTGAATATGTGAGTAACCCTTTTATCGGTTTAGACTTTTTGCACAAGTAATCTTTGTGGAGGAGAATAACACCTCCCTTTTTGCCCTCATGTTTATATATCCACCAGTTTCATCAAGCAAAGGCCCATATCCTTTGTCACTGTGGGAGAGTTCTGCTTTGTGTTTCAAATAGGGCAGAAATACTAATTCTTATTGGTTGTCAGTTCTACTTTATTTATAATAAAAAAACTGCACTGTAATTTAGCGACCTACAGTCACATTAAAAGAAAAATTTGAAAGTTGATTGTAATATCATTAATATTATTAACCATATAATATTTCATCTAACAAGCATTATAGCATATCATTATATGCTGTAATTTACCATGCACTTGCAATGATTGCAATATATACATGCATGCACAGAATTGGAAATGAGCAGAATTGGAAATTTTCATGCCACCTACTGGTCAGAATGATAGACAAGTCAGTGGGCATGTTTATTGGCCACTCTGTTCATTACATGCATTTTACTGCCAGAGTAATGACAGATACCCAAATGCAACATATATGCAAAGAGAACAATTTCTGCACTTTTGTTTATTCCTACTCTGTGCATGTAACTATACCTATATGTAAGTAGACAACATAGCAGTGATTTCATACCTTTCACCCAAGTATGTCATTGATGGTAGCCTCCATGTCCAAATTATGTTGCTGAAAAGTATGATATAGTTCTTTTTGGTCAATGTTAGGAAACATTTCAGAAAGGGTATCCATGCTGCAAGATTGGTTTTCAACATCACTTGAACAGGAAGCCATGAGGTTTTCTTCTTGGGCATAAATTGGACTACTTGATAGATTTTCTTTGCTGATGAAAATTGAACTTGCAACTTCTTTATCACTGCTTGGTAGAATGCTTTCTCCAATAAATTTTGGGATAGGTTGGTTTTGATGGATATTAGTTGCAGGGTTTTGATCATCTCCATCATGGGTTGAATTAGTGAAATGTTTTTTTACATCAATCTCACTTGATATAGGTATAATTTCATTATCTGCACTTAATCTAATAATGGAAATTATCATCAGTACAATTTAGAATCAGTGAATTCCATATACAAACCTATACATACATATATATTTAATTTATCATAAGTCTTGGTTCTGAGAAAATTTTATCACACTATTACTGCATGCAGTACTATAGTTTACCAATTTTACAATTTGTGGGTTCACATATGTTATCACCTCAATCATTTTGCCTGCTTTCCTGTAGTGATGCAAATCAATTTTGGCCACACAAAAAATCCAACTAGTTTAAAAGTACAATATTAATAATATTACCTGACAAGGTTTTCAAAGTCACAAAAAAATAAAGAACTAAGCAGTTTTTTTAAAAAAATAAACAAATAACTAAGCCATGTTTAAATTCCTGTATTTGCTTTTGTCTTAATTAATTATGTCTGACATCTCCTCTTCCCCTCTAATCATAATATTAGTGATAAGCAATTTCAAATCTAACCCCTGCCACCCTTGATTAAAGTCCATGTGTATGCATACTCCCTAATTTATTCAATCAAATACCTTACCTATGGCTATGATGCAAACAAAACACTCCTCTTGGTGATCTTTTAGCAGGGTAACAGGTATCTCCTGATTGCAATTAATGCATTGAACAATAGGTGCCTTCTGAAAACCCTTTAAAAAAATATAACAATAATCATCCCACAATATTACCAATGGTCAAGGGTTTTTTCCTCTTAAGTAATATGTTTTGTAATATCTAACCTCATCTTCTAAGTCTGAGTCAACTGCATCAATTTCTGTTTCATCAAGGTCCACCTGTAGCGGACGAACATACAATAAAGCTTGACCAAGCCCTACAGTGTCTCTTAAGTACTTCACTGTGTACCCACAACTTGGCTGTCGAATTACAGCCAAACTGTTTCCACTAGGACCGCGCCTTAACAAATCAAATCCATGTCCAGATATAAGATTAGGGAAAACTTCCTCGATTTTAGCTTTAAATGCATTGGCATCACCATTCGCATCAAATTTTATCCTTGCTCTTCCCAGACCAGCGCCTTGAAGCTTAACCTTCCTTCCACGTGCAGGTGCCACGCTTTCTTCGATCATTCCCAAGCAAAAAACATCGTGGGTCCATGTCTCTATCGCCCTTTTCTGTTCTCTCCTTCTACATAGCCTTTTTGCTGGTGGTCTGTTAATAGAGTCGCGGTTTGTGCTCTTGTAAGGAGCACTGAAAAAGATGGCGAAAATTTTTCGTTGCTTCGCTTTGGTCGAGGCTTTGGTCTCGTGTGCTCCGAGAGGCATTTTGAGTGCCACTTGATTGACTGGAGGAACTACTTAGGTTTCTTACATTCGCCACTGTCCGTTCAAAATTTATCCCTCCAGATGAATTATTACTGGTTTCAGAAGTTATCGAATTCGTTAACGGTTTCGAAGCATTATTTTGGGTAAGTACGTCGGCAGCTTGCCGCAGGAGACTCATCGCACGACTCACATTTTCTGTATCATTCGCCATGTTTGCTTGTGTAACTACACATTTGCTTGTGTTCAATGTGTTGCACATTTGGGGCCAAAATCAATTACTTAATGTTACAAAAATCGGACACGGAGCGTCACGCAGAATGTTGTTTAAACATAATGACAATATTTTGAAAATATTGTAATTTATTTTGCTGTTGCCCTAAAACAAATAAAGGCCTGCTGCGAGGGTTACTGCGCGCGTGTCTCGCGTGGTAGTGCACGTTCAATGTGCGGCGTGTGATTGTCGAATGGTCCGATTCCCGATCATACGATCCGATCCATTGCCTATCCATTAACCCATTCCGGCTCACTCGAACCCTCGCTAACTCGAACAATTTTTTTTCCCCTTGGGACCTTGGGAGTTCGAGTTAGCGAGGGTCTACTTTTTGAGTACTAATTTAGTATTAGTGAAAAAAATGTCAGGTGCGGGATTCGAACCCACGCCCACCATGGTGGACCAGAATTCCTCACAACGTTCTTCAGTCTGGCGCCTTTGACCGCTCGGCCAACCTGACTGAAAATAATTTCGAACCAATGTTTTTATTCAAAAATATTTTAGAACGCTATCTCTTCAGGTAGTCGGCCGGCCGGGCTGGCGGAAAACGCTCCAAAAAAAAGTCTTTAGTAAACACGTTTTGGGGGGGTTACCACGCTTGTTTCGAAGTTTTAAACAAAAAATATCGATGTTCTATCTTCCGAGCTTCTATCTGGCTTTCCTCTGAGCTTATTACTCCGGCGTCAGCGACGGATGTTAGGTTTTGAGGCGTAGCCATTTGCCACTGCTTCAACCAAGCAAAACTTTACACGACAACTTTAGTGTATGACTGTTTATTCACTCTGATATTACAGGACAGGATTACATCAATATATAAGAGGTTACATGGTAATATGTTTAGGACGTATAACATTTCACTTTACATTTATATAGCCATATTTGGTCTTTTCGTTGACTTAAATTTGCTTACATATATATATATATATCTATGGAATTTATAGAATTAAAGATATTTACATTCAATCGATCATCAAGAATATGATAGAGCATAGTTTAACACCCCCACTTGCTCTTTATGTTCTGACCGTTTATAATTGATGGCGTGCAGCAGGGCGGGCCATCAGTATATACGCGCGCTTTACATTCAGTCTATCCTGCACTTTTTTGACTATACTTGCCTTCTTTTCTTATTCTCCTAACATAATACGTCTGAAACTATGTAATTTTATCTTACTGGCTGGTTTTGTGAAAATATCTGCAATGTTTTCTTCACTTGGAATATACTCTAAATCAACTCTGCCTTCCTGTATCTCTGATCTAATAAAATAATACTTTATGTCAAAATGTTTTGATCTCTGACGCTGAATTGGGTTCCTGGCTAAATTCATAGCTCCCTGATTATCTATCATAATGAGTGACTTACCTTCTATACTTACCATCATGTCTGTGCAAAGCTGCCTTAAGAATTTTGCTTCTTGTATCGCGTTGGCTAGAGCTACATATTCTGCTTCACATGTTGACAATGCCACGGTCGGTTGTTTTCGGCTTTTCCATGATATCATCGGGCCATTTTGTGAGAGCTGAAAATTATAGCCTGTCATGCTTCGTCTATCTTCAACAGACGCTCTCCAATCTGAATCGCAGAACCCTTTTAGAGTTAGTGGTGAATTCGTTTTTGTAAAGGTTAATCCTAATTCCTGTGTCCTTTCAAATATCCCAAAACATGTTTGGCCGTGCTCAAGTCGGATTGTTTGGGATTGGCTATCTTTAACAATACTGTAACCTTGTGTCATGTATTTTGTATAATTTTCGTTTATTTTATTAAACCTGAAATCAAAACTGAGTGAAGATACTATTTACAACATGGTCCTTCGACGAGCCGGATAGTTGGTTCGAATTTCGTAGAAATAGAATGTCTTTAGATAAGTTGAAGAGAGTACGAAGAGGGCATCGTGCCTTCGTGACGAAAACAATTCAAGGTGTAAACGAAGTTTGCCAGTCTTACAATGGAACGCTATTGGAAAAGGAAAGACTACAAAGCTGGAAAAGTACGTTAGCTGATAAGAAGAGTGTTTTAAAACAGCAAGATGATGCAATAATGGAACAGTTAGACAAGGACGAAGACATTAACAGTGATATTTTGGAAAGCAGTGAATTTGGTGAGTCAATTGCTAGAGCACTTGTTAGAATTGATCTAGCATTAACCAGTACTGAAAGTAACGGACAAGGAAGTAGTAATTTGAGTAAAGCATCAACTGGCTCAGAGCCATCAGTGAAGTCAAAATTGCCAAAACTATCATTGAAGCGATTTTCGGGTGATCCCAAACTTTGGCATGCATTCTGGGACAGTTTTCAGCAGCAGTTCATGAAAACGATGAGGTGTCTAAAGTTGACAAATTTAACTATTTAAGAAGTTTACTGGACGGTGTAGCGGCATCAGCAATAGAAGGATTTTCACTGACTAAAGAGAACTATGATGCTGCAATAAATTTACTAAAGGATAGATTTGCAAATACTCAAATCATTGTGTCCAGCCACATGGACGCCTTGTTGAAGTTAAATGCCATAAAAGATATAAGTGATTTGCATGGAATTCGTGGTCTACATGATAAAATTGAAACCCATGTTAGAAGCCTACAGAATTTGGGTATCTCATCAGAATCCTATGGCAGCCTATTGATTCCTGTCATTGTCAATAAGTTGCCTGAGGAATTACAATTAGTAATAAGTAGGAAGTTGGAGAGGAACAATTGGGATGTAGAGCAATTTATGGAGCAGTTCAAAACTGAGTTAGAAGCCAGAGAGAGATGTGGCATGATTAATAACTCACATTCTACTATGAAAAAGGACGGTGTTAATCGGAATAAGGGCAAATTCCCTCCTACTTCTTCCACCTTGTTTACTGGTAAAGAACAACACTATACCCCCAACTGTGTGTGTTGTAATCAACAACATTCATCACTCAAATGTAATGTTGTTACCAATGTGTCAGCTCGTCGCGCCATTCTAAGAAGGAAGGGAAAATGTTTTTCATGTTTAAAATCTGGCCAATCATCTAGCCAAGAGTTGTCCATCAAAATTTAACTGCCACAAGTGTAACAAACGACACCACACATCAATCTGTGAAGTAGAAACCGACAAACCCAAGGACGGACCCCCTGAGACAATGAATGTGGGAACTTCAACAATGTATGTGAACAGTAGCACAGCAGTGTTATTGCAAACAGCCCAGGCATTAGTCGGTCAACCTGGAAGTTCTGGGCGTAAAGTGAAAGCGAGGATTGTATTTGATTCTTGCAGTCAACGTACCTATGTCTCACAACGTTTAAAGGAAAACCTCGATCTTAGTCTTGTTGGAAGTGATACGTTGAAGATAACAGCCTTTGGGGATGATGAACCAAGTCAAAAAGAATATGAGCAAGTACAATTTTCCATAACAGCACTTGATGGGATGGAACTTTATGCAAAGGGGTATGTTGTGCCAACCATCTGTAGTCCGATTTGTACTCAAAGCGTTCAGGCAGTAGTCGAAAGATATCCTCACCTTCGTGGGTTGTGTCTAGCTGAGAAATCAAGTCTCTCAAATGAAGTTGAAGTTGATGTTCTGCTGGGAGCAGACTATTATTAATACTTTGTTACCAATATCATTAGAAGAGGCGTAAGTCCTGGACCAGTTGCCATCTGGACAAAGCTGGGATGGGTATTATCCGGACCTGTGGTTACCAGCAGCCCAGAGAACTCTCAACAAACATCTGTGAACTTGACCACCACCCACGTTCTTCTTGACCACCACCCACGCGATTAAGCGAGATAAATATCTCAAAACAGTATTAGGACATTTCTGGAAGAGATGGAGTTCAGAATACTTAACCCAGTTACGTGAGCACCATCGGCCGAGCAAAAGAGACGGACCTGTTATCAACGTCAGATGTCGTATCGGTTAAAGAAGACAATGTTAAGCGATTGAATTGGGAAATGGCATTAGTGGACGAACTGATCGGACGAACGGAAAAGACGGAAAATCACGAGCAGCAGTTGTAAGGATGATCGGCAAGGACGGAAAGGTAACACGGCTACGACCTACAGAAGTTATACCCTATTGAATTACAATCAGAAGAAAAGAGTGAATTTCCAATCACGTTCGTGAAGGAAGCCAAACAGGAGAACATTGCCATTTAATTAATTAAGTTATGTAATTTAGAGTTGTGTTGATAGACTTTTCCCCGTCTATCAAGGCGGGAGTATGTTCGAAATGACGTAAGCGCGAGTATCGTGTATCCCACGCGTGGAAAAACATGTGCTTTTGGGAATGCCTTCGGGGCGAACAATACTGTAACCTTGTGTCATGTATTTTGTATAATTTTCGTTTATTTTATTAAACCTGAAATCAAAACTGAGTGAAGATACTATTTACAACAATAAAAATAGTAATGGTCCGAGGTTTGAACCCTGCGGTACGCCACACTTAACGATTCTTTTGTCAGATAACATTTGATTAACTTTTAACCATTTAAATGATTTTTCTCTTATTCCATAGTGGAAACGTTTCTTTAGCAAAATACTATGGTCAACACAGTCAAATGCCTTTTTTTAGGTCAATATCGCTTTGTTCCACGTTATCGAGGACGAAACGGCAGTATTTTTTAAAACAATATAGAAGTACTAGTTTAGTATTGGTACAAAAAAATGAGAATCCCACATCTGACATTTTTTCTCAAATACTAAATTAGCACTTTTATATTGTTTTAAAAATACTTTTGTGAAAATTTTTCTGTTGTTTCCTCGTCGTTAACGTGGAACAAAGCGATATTGGTCGATATTATTTTGAACAGTCAGGTTGGCCGAGCGGTCGAAGGCGACAGACCTAAGCCGGAGTTTTGTACGAGTCACACACCTGACAAATTTGTACATGTTGGAAACAAATTTTTAGGCATGTCAGAAATTCCTCACACCTCCTAACGTGAAAAAGAAAGTGAAACATTTAAAAAATGTATTAGCATTAAGAATACACCAAACACAATATTTTACAGTAGGTATAAAGTTCCAATCCGGATTGGCGTACTTTTCTATAAATAAGACAGGCAATACTACTCCTTATGGGAAATAAGCCTTT